CCAACTCCAGGGATTTGGGACATCCCCAGCTCCAGGGATTTGGGACACTGGGCACCCCCATCTCCAGGGATTTGGGACATTCCCAGCTCCAGGGATTTGGGACACTGGGTACCCCCTGTTCCAGGAATTTGGGACATTCCCAACTCCAGGGATTTGGGACATTGGCCACCCCCTGCTCCAGGAATTTGGGACATTCCCAGCTCCAGGGATGTGGGACATTCCCAACTCCAGGGATTTGGGACACTGGGCATTCCCAGCTCCAGGAATTTGGGACATCCCCAGCTCCAGGGATTTGGGACATTCCCAACTCCAGGGACTTCCCGGCTCCAGGGCCATGGGACACCGGGAATTCCTGGGACACAGCCAGGAATGTCACCTGTCCTCTCCCAAAGGCCACACCCTCGGGAATGTCACCTTTCCACAGCTCCAGTGACCTGGGCACGCAATGGACGGGAAAAGAGGGATGAAATCCATCCCAAACCACCAATTCCGGGATGTTTCCTGCTGATTCATCCCGGTTTTTTTAGTCAGGACTGCCAGGGGTTTCTCCCTCGGGAAAGGGGAGTTGGAAGCACCTTTGGCACCCCCAGACCTTCATTCCCAAAATTTAGGTCCTCCCGTATCCCCAGGTCTTTCCTTTCCCAAAGGGAACAAGGAGGAGGAAATCATGGAATGCTTTGGGTTGGAAGGGACCTGGAAGCTGCTCGAGTTCCAACTCCTTCCTCTAGTCCAGGTGGCTCCAATATCCCAAAATTTCCCACGGAATCCCGCTGGAGACGGGAATAAACCCCCATTCCATGTGCACTTCCAATTTCCAGCTTTATTATTCCCGTTTCGGAGGGAAAAGGATCCCAGTTTTCCACCTAAATCTTGTTGAAGGCGGCGATGTCCACGCTCTGCACCTGGAATGAGAGCAGAGCCCTCAGGTCATTCCAGGCATTCCCAAGAAAACACATCCCGGTTTTCAAACCCTCCCTCTCTTATCCCGCTCCAAGTCCTCCAGGTAATTCCAGGCGTTCCCAAGAAAACACATCCCAGTTTTCAAACCCTCCCTCTCTTGTCCTGCTCTGACAAGTCCTCCAGGTAATTCCAGGCATTCCCAAGAAAACACATCCTGGTCCAAACTCTCCCTCCCTTGTCCCACTTCAAAAAGTTCTCCAGGTAATTCCAGTCATTCCCAAGAAAACACATCCCAGTTTTCAAACCCTTCCTCTCTTGTCCTGCTCCAAGTCCTCCAGGTAATTCCAGGCATTCCCAAGAAAACACATCCCAGTTTTCAAACCCTCCCTCTCTTATCCTGCTCCGATGAGTCCTCCAGGTAATTCCAGGCATTCCCAAGAAAACACATCCCAGTTTTCAAACCCTTCCTCTCTTGTCCTGCTCCAACAAGTTCTCCAGGTAGTTCCAGACCTTCCCAGGAAAACACATCCCAGTTTTCAAACCCTCCCTCTCTTGTCCTGCTCTGACGAGTCCTCCAGGTAATTCCAGGTCTTCCCAAGAAAACACATCCCAGTTTTCAAACCCTCCCTCTCTTATCCTGCTCCAAGTCCTCCAGGTAATTCCAGGCATTCCTAAGAAAACACATCCTGGTCCAAACCCTCCCTCTCTTGTCCCACTCCGAGTCCTCCAGGTAATTCCAGGCATTCCCAAGAAAACACATCCTGGTCCAAACTCTCCCTCTCTTATCCCGCTCCAAAAAGTTCTCCAGGTAATTCCAGGCATTCCCAAGAAAACACATTCTAGTCCAAACCCTCCCTCTCTGATCCTGCTCTGACAAGTCCTCCAGGGAATTCCAGGCATTCCCAAGAAAACACATCCTGGTTTTCAAACCCTCCCTCTCTTATCCCACTCCAACGAGTCCTCCAGGTAATTCCAGGTCTTCCCAAGAAAACACATCCCGGTTTTCAAACCCTCCCTCTCCCATCCCACTCCAACGAATCCCCCAGGTAATTCCAGGTGTTCCCAAGAAAGCACATCCCAGTTTCCAAACCCTCCCTCTCTTGTCCCGCTCTGATGAGTCCTCGAAGTAATTCCAGGCATTCCCAAGAAAACACATCCTGGTTTTCAAACCCTCCCTCTCTTATCCCGCTCTGATGAGTCCTCCAGGGAATTCCAGGCCTTCCCAAGAAAACATATCCCAGTTTTCCAACCCTCCCTCTCTTATCCCAATCCCGGACTCACATAATCCTCGAACTTGGTGATCTCCTCCTCCAGGATGTCCGTTCCCACTTTTTCGTCCTCCACCACGCACTGGATCTGGAGCTTCTTGATCCCGTATCCCACCGGGACGAGCTTGGAAGCTCCCCAGAGCAGCCCATCCATGTGGATGGAACGGACACATTCCTCCAGCTTGGCCATGTCCGTCTCATCATCCCACTGGGAAAAGAAGCGGGAAATTTGGGAGGTTGAAGGGTTTCCCCGGGATTCGGCAGCGATCCGCTTTTTCCTCGGTTTCCTCCCCTTTTTCCGGAGTATATTCCCGTTTTCTTTCACCCAGGGGGACACCAGGACACCTCTTGGGATCATCCAGTTGATCCAAAGTGTCCTTTGCCGGTGGGTTTCACCGGAGTTTGGGAAAGGGAAGGATCCAGGGAGAGCTTGGAGCAGCTTCCGGTGTCCAAAGGGGCTCCCGGAGAGGGACTGGGGATAAGGGATGCAGGGATGGGACACAGGGAATGGATTCCCAATGCCAGAGGGACAGATGGGATATTGGGAAGGAATGGGATACTGGGAAGGAATGGGATATTGGGAAGGAATGGGATATTGGGAAGGAA